ATGTGACTTTCTAGGCTCCGAGGAAGTGCTGTTGCAGGAGAATGAATTATCTCTGGACGGGACGCGCTGTGTTCTGGGGACGGTCTGATTGGCCGCTGGAGGACAAGGAGGCTCGTGGTTACGGTGGGGGCCGGCCGTGTCCTGCTCAGAACCCTGTGGCTCCTCCTTGCAAATAAAGATGAAATCTTCGAGTCTCTGCTCAGAGGAAGCTCCAGAGTTAACCGTGCGCGTGCCGGGGGGCAGAGCCGAGCCCTGCACGGGGGGCTGCTTCCTCAGCTGGAAGGGTCAGTGCAGGAGGCAGTGGGCTTTCTGTCCGCATCTCCAGCCACATGACCATATATGTCCCCGGGCCGGGTGGCTGGTGCTGCTGCGGAGGGCGTGGCCTGGCCTGGCAGGGAGCCTGGGCCAGGGCCGGCGGCTCTTCCTTTTTCTGGGCACACTCGCGTTTTCCCTCCGAAAGGCCTGTGGCTGCCAGGCGCTGCCCGCGGGGGGCTGCTGGCCTCAAAGCGAAGTGGTGCCTTTGGTACTGGTGACGGCTGTGGCCCCGAGGCCTTGCCAGGCTGCCGGGATGGCTCCCTCCGGCTCTCGGCTCTCCGGGCGCTTTTAAGTCTCCGTGCCTAGCCCTGTTCTCTTTAAAGGAAGCCTTTTGATGTGATTCTTCTAAAAACCATTTAAAAAAAAATACATTTTTATTGATTCAGAGAGGAAGAGGGAAAGAGAGAAACATCAATGATGAGAGAGAATCATTGATCGGCTGCCTCCTACACGCCCCCTCCTGGGGATGGAACCCGCCACCCGGGCATGTGCCCTGACCGGGAATCGAACCGTGACCTCCTGGTTCATAGGTTGACGCTCAATCACTGAGCCACGCCGGCCGGGCTTAGAAACCATTTTTAAAGCAGCAGAGATGAAAGCAGCACGGGAAGCCTTTGGCACAGGCCCTCTGTTTGCCAGGCGGTGGAGGTGATGCGGAAACGCCAGGAAAGAGCAGGGAGGCTGCTGGCTTTCCATCGGCCGCAGTTCTCAGCAGAAAGACCTTCCAGGTGCTCTGGGGTCAGAGGGCAAACGTGGTGACTGAGGGTCGCCGCCGTGTGGGGTGAGCGGTCATCCCTCCTCAGCGGGTGGTGCTTGGGGTTTTACTGGGAACAGTGGAGAGAACGTGCTGCCGGAGTGACCTTGGCCACGTGCGCTGATCGCGCGGACCTGCTGGTTAGGGCTGATCTCCCTGGACAGTGAGAAGTTCAGTAGCAGCAGTTTATGAGAGCAGAAAATACAGCCCGTTAGCCCTGGCCCATGTGGATCAGTGGTGAGAGCGTTGGCCTGCGGACTGAAGGGTCCAGGGTTCAATTCCTGGTCAAGGGCACGTCCCTGGGTTGCAGGTTCCATCCCCGGCCGTGGTCGGGGTGCGTGTGGGAGGCAACCAAGCGATGCGTCTCTCTCACATCAATGTTTCTCTCTCCCCCGCCTCCCACCCTTCCACTCTCTCTAAAAAGCAGTGGAAAAAATATACTTGTGTGAGGATTATAGAAAAAACAGCAGATTAGAGTGGCAGCAAACAGTCCCGCTTCCTATGGGCTAAGTAAGCCCCTTATTCTCTTTTTCTCATTGCATCTCCCGCAGTTTCATGAGGTAAGCCCTCCTGGTCCCCATTCTGCAGATGGGGAAACCGAGGCCCAGAAGGAGGAAGCATCTTGGTCCAGGTTGTGAACTTCCCATCACACAGAGGACAAAGGCAGACTTTCACCCCGGCTTCTCTCTGACCCCTTCCTCCTCTCCGGCCCTGCCCCGGCCCAGGCCCAGGCTGGCTGTGTTTCCTGGACTCCCGGCCCCTTCCTGCCCCGGGGCCTCTGTACGCACAGACGCTTGCCCCGAAGGCTCTTCCGCCGCCTTTTCTGCATGACTGCCTCCATCTCGGCTTTCAGGTCTCAGCTCGAATGTCTCAGCTTGTTCTCTCTGACCAGCCCGGTTAGGTTGTCACCAATCACGTCACCGAGTTTTCATTCCCGTGGTATTTCTCGCTATCTGATGCGCCTCGCCCGCTCTGTCTGTTTACTGTCCGTGCGCCGTCACCAGAATACAGGTGCCCTGAGAACAGGAACCTTGACCGGAGGAGGGGTCGCACATAGTAGGTGCTTAATAAATGTGCTGACTGAAAAGGAGGGTTTGGGGTTCACATCGAGGGGCCCTGTCGAAAGCCCCGGCCGGTCAGTTGTACGTTTTGCATTTTAGTCGTGTTCTAGCCAGTTTCTCATGTTTATACCGTGTGAGACCTACGCACACAGCCAGCGCCAAAGCAAACCTTAAGGAAAGTGTGTAGCAGCATTTTGGGTCTCGGGAGCTCTTTCCATGCTTATCAATTCTTGAGGACCCCAAAGAGCTCTCTTACCCCTCCCCTCTGAAATCAATAAAAATGTAAAAAAAAAAAAAAAGGTCAAAGGTAAGGTAATTGGGTGCAGAAATGCATGGGAGATTGACAAGCAGCGTCTGAATAGTGCACAGCGGTGGGGGTGGCGGTGGGGGTGGGGGTGGGGGGGCAGCGTGGCTGAGTCCTTGGTTCCTGACACCAGTGCTTGGCAGGGCCTAATGGAAGGGCAGTGGCGATGCCCCCATCGCTGACAGTCGGACTCTAGCGCCCAGCCAGGCGGCTTCTTTGTAATGAAACGCAGAAGGCTCCTGCGCGTCAGTGAAAACCCGCGCGCCTGGGTCTCAGGTCCCTCTGCGGGCTCGGCGTCCAGGGAGGCCCTGAGTTCCTGCCCGGGGGGAGGACGGCGGTACCTTAGGCGACTTCTCGGTTAATGAAAGGCTTCTAATTTAGTCTTCTTTCAGGAGCTGCTAACTTTTAAATTCTGAATCGTGTGTAGGCGAAAGTCGAGATTTTTTTTTTTTAGAAAAATGAATATAATGCAATTAGTTAAGTGTGTGCGGGAGAAATAGATGGGAAAAATTATAAGTGAGGTTTCTGCCGCAGTCGAAGCTTTTAGCAAAAGAAAAAAAAATCCAAAACTTAACTTGAGCTGCTTAGAACGAAGCGAACAGACTTCTTGTTCAGTGAGCTGTGCTTCCGTCGTGTTAGCCCCAGCGTGGAAGGGCTTCTCAGTGCTGAATATCATGCCTTCCAGAGGCTCCCTCCGCAGGGCCCGGGTGACGCTGGAAGAGGGGGTGGAGCTGGCCAGGCTGTGGGGCCTGTGGATTTGGGGGCCGACAAGCAGTAAGCATCAGCCCTTCATGGCCCACACCCTCCTTCCGGACACCGAGAGTGGCCACCTCTCCCGAGGGCCTGGTGCCCTGCGGTCAGGTGACGGGAGGGGAGACCAGGGAGCAGGTCCCTCTGCTGTGTCGCACCTGGACTCCGCTGGGACAAAGGCTCATGGGAGGGCGAGCCCGGAAGGAGAGAAGTGGCACCTGGACAAGGGCGGTCCGAGTACACACCTGCCCCCTGCACTCCCCCTGCCCAGTGCACACCTGCCCCCTGCACTCCCCCCCACCTGCCCCACCTGCCCCCTGCACTCTGTGACTGCACTTCGGGGACTCCCCAGGGTCCCTGGGAGCCCGAGTGTGGGGTGACTGCTCTGGTTCAAGAATTCACTCCAAGCTGGTTTCCCAACAACCAGCTCCTGGCACGCGGCTCCCTGCCTTGACACGGCTTTCACCGTCGCGCATGGAAAGGGGGACGGCGCCGTAATGGCTTTAGTGTCTGCAGCCTCGTGGATGCCGTCTGCCTTTATGGTGTGAGATGCCCGGTTAGGACCGGTGGCCTGGGGACCGACGTGGTGTGCAGACGGGGCCTGGCCACCGTTCCTGTGAACCTTAGGCGTCTCCCCACCCCCAGAGGCTGGTCTTCGGTCTGAGAGAGTGTCGCGCTGTGCACACAGGTTCACGCTCCGTGAAGTGCTGTCTCCTGCAGCTCCTGGGTGGTGCTGGGCAGACTGCTTGTTCCTTGTCCTTCGCACACGCGTGGACCGGCTTCTTTAAGGGGCGGTGTCCGGGCCTCCCGCTGCCCTGGCTGCGCACTTCTTCCAGGAAGGCCACTTGGCCCCTGGAAGGCAATTCCAGGAGAGGGGCCCCGGCCATCGGCCATCACAGCTCCTCGGCTCTGCTGACGGGGGGAGACTGGAGGGCAGACGTGGGGCGAGGCTCCGGGGTCTGGGTTTGCAGGAAAAGTCTGGGGAAGTCCCGGGTCCCTGCGTGTCTACACGGCAGGTGCCGCGGGGACGCCGGGGTCACCTGCAGGCCACAGCAGCGCACCGTCTTCCCACGGAAATGACCTCGTGTTTTCAATGTCAGCTCAGCTTTTTATAACCGGCTCCCACTCCTCAGTCTTTACGGCTGTTCCCATGAGTCAGACCGTGTTTTTGTTGGTGTGTGCATGTGTGTGTGTGTGTGCGTGTGTGTGTGATGACTTCTGGGCTGCAGAGATTTCCTGGAACCTCTGAGCCGTTGCTACGACTGCCTGAACTCGCCGGGTGCCCTCCTGACCCCGGCTCCCGCCGACCTGAGCCTGACTCCTCTCACCTGCCCGGGGAGGAGGCTCCCCGAGCCTCGTGGTGTCTGTCACCAGGTGTCACTCTCTTGGGCTCACTTTGCTGCTCGAGTACCGAGTCCCCCGCACCGCCAGGCCCAAGTTCTATCCAGGTGTTTCCTCCCGACGCCCCGCCCCCGAGGTCCAGGAATATGTTAGTTTCATGAGTCACAGCGCCGGCTCCTGACCCCCGCGGAGTTCTTGGCCGAGGTCCCTGCAGCCTCAGAGTCACTGTTTGACACGAGGGTCCTTGGGGGCCAGATCGGACCGGGCGTGGCCACGTGAGAGGCCGGCGTTATTGTGCTCGGAACACCCTGAACTTCAGTAACATTCGGGGGAAACGTGGCTGCCTGTGGCCTCGTGTGGCCTTGCCTGCCGGCCACGCTGGACAATGGAGTGAAGCTAAGCCAGCTCTCCGGCTTTCCCCTCCGCGGAGTCTTCTTTTTCCTTCTCATAACGGTGCCTCCTTTGCTTTGTCTAGGCTTTTCGAGAAAGACATGTCTGACAAGATGTCGAGTTTCCTGCACATCGGGGACATATGCTCCCTGTACGCGGAGGGATCGACAAATGGATTCATCAGCACGTTGGGGTAAGAGCACCTGCCTTCTCCTGTGGCCGCATCTGTCTCAGGCGGCGGGGCAGCGGCCTAACGCGGTGGTTTTGCTACGATGAGCATGCGGCCGTGTTACTCGGCTTTTCAGGGGTTGGCTCAGACTTTGTCATAATCCCCTCCTTCCCGTAGAAGGGACGTGCTGAGGATGTGGGGTAGCAGCTGAGGTTCGTGATCACAGACCCAGGGGAGCGCTGTGAGCCTCACAGGAGCCCCGTTGTCGGACGGGGACGTGTGTCGCGGAAGCGCGGAGCCCATCTTTCTTGGAAGCAGAGCCTCCTACTTGGAGTTGCCGTTGGCGTTTGAAAGTTGCAAACTGCACCGAGCTCTGGAAGCCAGATTGTTGCCCTGTTGTGCTTGCTTCAGTTTCCAGCCAGCTTTGAGCAGCCGACTATGTTCCGTGACGTCCTCCTGTGATTCTGCTGTGTAGAGGGGGACGGGCAGCACAGCCCCGGGGCGGGGACAGGAGGCAGAAGCGGGGTGCCCAGCTCCAGAAGTCGGGGTGGGCCACGCTGTCGGTGAGGGGAGCAGTGAGGCCGGGTGCATTGCTGGATTTGGCAGGAGCTCGTCGCAAATAAATGGGGGGAAGGAGGCCGACAGCTTCTCCTGGGACCTCCTCCTCCCGGGAGCCAGGCCTTCCTGTAACCAGGGCTGTGACGGAAAGCCGTGCACGCGCTCGGGAGGGTGTGCGGGCATGGGCGGTGGCGGGGAGGGGTCCCCGGCTCACGTTCCTGTCACCTCAGCCTCAAGGAGCAGGTGTTGCAGACACAGAATTACCACTCGGTTGGAGCCCGCCCACTGTATGGAAAGTCATTTCTGGGGGTCCCTCGATAAAAGCTTGCCTGTGGCTTTTGGCAAAGAGGCCTCTGTCGCTTGGGCCGCTCTGCCCCCCTTTCCTTTCTGGCCGATTCCTGCCATCTCCCCTTCCCTGTGGGGACTCTGTCATCCTCCTCAGTTTTCAGCCAGAACGGCAGCAGCACCGATTCCGCGAGTCCGTGGGCGTCCCCAGCAGGGTGCCTGCATCGCTGCACCCACATGGGCCCTGCAGTCCCCAGGCAGTGCTGACAGTGCGCCCTGTCGCTTGTTATGCCCAGATTTCAGGATCCCCAAGAGACCACACCAGGGAGCCAGCCGTGTCCGATGCAAAAGCAAAGAGTCTTTTATTCAAACCCGGGCTTGGCTCCCCTACCCTCCTTACTGACGCAGCAGCAAGTGGCAGAGAGACCCAGCCCTGTGGGGAGAGGGGTTTTATAGTAAGGGGAGGAGAGAGGACTGTGGGCCCTGCCGATTGGCCAGGCGCAAGTCGGTATCTCGTTACACAGGATGTGGTCATATCTATGGCGCGCACTTCCCTTGATTGTCATTGGTTAGTTTAAAGAAATCCTGGGTGTGGCTAGCAGAGGCTTGGGCTTCCAGGAAGAAGCCTTGCCGAGCACATGGCTGCCCAAAAATGGAGGACCCAGGGTAAGATGGAGGGCGTAGTCCTCGCCCTTTCATTGCTGTCACTGTCCATGGAGGTGAACCTCTGAGAAGCGGAGAGGATTGGCCACCTGCCTGGGGGTCACAGTGCCAAGAGTCAGGGCTCCAGGCTCCTAAGGGTGCCCTGGGGGGGCTGGCTTCCCCGACCGCCCTCCTCGCTCGCTCTCAGCCCACAGCTCTGATCTGGATGCCCTGTTCGTCCTCCATCCCGTTGTTCCTCTGTGGCCCCAAGTTCTTTTAATGGTGCCAGCCCCCAGGCTCACTGCCGGTCAGTGCTGAGCGCTGGGCCCCTCCTCCCCCAGCCCTGAAACCCTGGGGTCTCCTTCCCCTGAGGCCTCTGCCTCTAGTGCAGTGGTTCCCAACCTTCTGGCCCTTTAAATCCAGTTCCTCATGTTGTGACCCAACCATAAAGTTATTTTCGTTGCTACTTCATAACTGTAATGCTGCTACTGTGATGAATCGTCATGTAAATATCTGATATGCAGGATGGTCTTAGGCGACCCCTGTGAAAGGGTCGTTCGACCGCCAAAGGGGTCGCGACCCACAGGTTGAGAACCGCTGCTCTAGGGTATTGTGCATAGAATTCCGAGGATGTCGAATTGTTAATGAAAGTTTTCTTCAAAAATTACCAGCAAATGAACGCTAAGCTCCTCCTCCTCCTTACTGGGGGGGTTGGGGGGGTGGGAAAGGGGAGGTGGTGGCTCCTCTTAACACTTCCCTCAGAGGCCTCTGTCCTTCCCTGGCCCCCTGCACACAACATTCGAGGAAAACTGGGATGAAAATGGATCTGGAAAACTCGGCTTGGCCTTTTCATTCCCCTCTTAACCCCTTTCCCATGTGTGGACCCGGGTGTGGATGAGGAGGAGCGGCCACGACTGTGGGACTCGGCTTCCTCCCCGCCGGCTCCCCTCCCTCCCAATGGCTCCCCTCCCTCCCAATGGCTCCCCTCCCTCCCAGTGGCTCCCCTCCCTCCCAATGGCTCCCCTCCCTCCCAATGGCTCCCCTCCCTCCCAATGGCTCCAGGACACGCTGAGCTTCAGGACGCGAGTAGTGAGTGTGGCACGTGCGCGTCAGAGGGGGCTTGAGTCTCCGCGGAGCTGGTTAGAATATGGGGTCCCAGCCCGGGGACCCAGCTTTCGGTCGGCCTGGTGGCGGGGACCGGGTGAGGGTAGTTTAGAAGCAGAGGCCAATGAGCCTCTCTCCTGAGACCCTGGGGCCGGGAGCAGTGAAGTGCTGCCGCCCCTCCTGCTGCTCGTAGGTGGCCGAGAGCCGTGGACAATCCCTTGGCCTCCAGCCCTCACGGGCCCTTCCTCCTGCCCCTTCCTCCTGGTTCCAGAGCTCCACATGTCACGTGGGATCTGGTGGCCCCGCTGCACTGACCGCGGGGCTCAGGTGGCTCGTGGTGTGTCACACCCGGCTCTTGATTTCTGCATAAAAACCCAGGCCAGGGCCGCACTGTCCTCTGGCGGCTGCAGAGACAGCTGTGTTTTGGAGCCAAAGGAGGCAAACCGCTGGCTGCTGGGCTTCTCTGGACCCTGGGGTCCCCATCCATCGCCACTGAGCCCCTGGCCTGGGCAGGAGACCGGACTCGCCCTGGGCACCTTCTGGGCCGAGAGCAGGAGCTCCCGCCCTGGCGGCTCCAGCCATTCCTGCCTGGCCCATGGGGACAGGGAGGATGGGAGGGCCTGGCCCATGGAGATAGGGGGATGGGAGGGCCTGGCCCATGGGGATAGGGGGATGGGAGGGCCTGGCCCACGGGGATGGGGGGATGGGAGGGCCTGGCCCCTGGAGATAGGGGGATGGGAGGGCCTGGCCCACGGGGATGGGGGGATGGGAGGGCCTGGCCCATGGGGATGGGAGGGCAGAGGGCAGAGAGCGCCTGCCACTGAAGGCCAGGGGTGGGGTGGGACCTCGTGGAGAAGACGGCTCTGAGCAGGGCCTGGAGGGACAGTGGGATGTTAGGAGTGGAGGGGATTTTGGAGGAAGGAGCCGTCAGAGTAAAGGCCGGGGATTGATGGCACCTGCTTTGGGGTAAGAGGGAGCCTGATGCATGGAAGAGACCCCGGAAAACTGCAGCCTGTCCGCTGGGAGCCAGCTCTGCGGTCCCTGGGAAGGCGAGCCCGGCCTGGTCGCCGGCGGTAGGGACGTGGGTGGACATATCCTTCACCCGGCTCCCGGCCTGGCTCTCTTCACCTGCCCAAACAGACTCTTTAATGAGTGCTTCTGAAGGAAGTGCCTGCGTGAGGTTGATCAGCCAGGGCATTGAATTCGGGGTCCAGACTTCACTGGGAGCTGATACTTATTTCTCATTTTCCCCACTTTCCCCATTAGCCACTTCCAAGGCCTCGAAGTCCTTTTCTGTTTCCACGCATTGCGGTTCCCTCCGCCTGCAGCGCCCCGTCTTCCTCCTCCCGCCGTTCTCTCTCCCGGTTCAGTGGGTGTGACCTCCTGGGCTCAGCTGCTCCCACAGCCTCAGTTAGTTCCTGGGGTACAGCCCGTAGGCTATGTTCTCCTTTTGCTTATGGGGCTCCTGCACTTACCCTGAGCTCCCTGAGGGGGCTCCGCTGGCGGAGCACAGGACCCCTGGCGGTGCCTCCCGGCTTGGGCACTGCCTGCTGGGCTTGGATCCTGGATGTGGTTCGGAGAAAGGAGCCACGGAAAATGGACTGAGGCGGCCCTGGCAGAGGCAGCAGCTGGGGCTTCTGGGGCAGGTTTTGTGCCTGCAGGGGCCCCTCTAGCCCCCGGGGAACCTGGCCGTCTATTTTTAGGCCAGGAATAGCCCTGCCATTTTATTTTTTTAAAATATATTTTTATTGATTTCAGAGAGGAAGGGAGAGGGGGAGAGAGAGAGAGAGATACAAACATCAATGATGAGAGAGAATCATGGATCGGCTGCCTCCTGCACGCCCCCTCCTGGGGATCGAGCCCACAACCCAGGCATGTGCCCTGACCAGGAATTGAACCCTGACCTCCTGGTTCATAGGTGGACACTTAACCACAGAGCCACACCGGTGGGCGTGGCTGTTTGATTTTTGTAGAGCGCTTAGGGTTTTATTTTCTTGGACTTGCCTTGATGTAGCATTTACCTTTTTTTTCTTTTTTTTTTTAAATTTTGCAGGCTGGTCGACGATCGCTGTGTTGTGCAGCCGGAAACTGGAGACCTAAACAATCCGCCCAAGAAGTTCAGAGGTAAGGCGGCCACCTCCCTGGAGAGGGCGGCTTCCTCCCTGGAAAATTCATGAAGTGGCCACGGTGTGTGTGTTTTTTAAAGCGGTTGTGGGTTTATTTACTTACGTATATTTTTAAAAGTCGGGTTTCCATCCAGAGCCTTGGGACCTCTTGAGCGTGCCTGAGGAAGCTCGGGTCAGAGGGCGCTGGTTCAGGTTGAGGCCTCACCTGCGTGCGGCCGTCCCCGCCAGGCGGCTGCTCCCGTATTGGCCACAGGAAGCGTGTGCCTGGGGCAGACCTTGCTGCCGGAGGGGCTGGGGCTGGGGGGCTCTGGTGCCCTTCGACCCCCAACCTGGGCGAGGCGTTCTGGAGGGACAGGTGGGCGCTCTGCCGGCGCCTGCTCTCCGTCAGGCCTCCTGATCTGGTGTCCTCGGGAGGCGGCTTTACGTGTCCCACGAGGGTGAGAGAGAGCTGGTGCCGTAGCTGGTAGAAAACATCGCGTCTGTCTTCACGGTGGCCGGGGAGGCTCGGCTCTGGCTGCGAGGTTTTGATCAGGGAGCGACGTCGGGCAGGTGCTGGGGCCTGGCTGCAGCCTAGTCAGTGACGGGGGGTGGGTACCCCAGCACCGGCTTTTCAAGGCTCCCCGAGTGGCTCAGGGTGAGGTGTGGGCGGGCTCGGTGCCTGACGAGTGGCCTCAGTCCCACAGGGCTCACGCCTTGCCGTTTGCACATGATATCATTTGCGCTAGACGTTCTTGTCAGGTGACTTAGAAACTGATGTTTTCGAGTCGAAGCTAAAGAAATTCGGATAAAACGGGAAGCAGGCGTTCAGGGGCAGGGAGGCTGGTGTTGGCTGCGTCCGTGGGCACGAGGCTGTGGGCATGTCTTCCCCTGGCGGCTGGTTGGAACAGAGGAGTGACAGGCCAGGTGACAGGACCCTCCGCTGTCTCCAGCCTCCTCCGTGTCTTCGTCCAGAGCCCGGTCCCGAACGCAGCAGAAGTGAGAGAGTGGAGCTGCCGCTCCTAGTCCTGCCAGCCACAGAGCTCTCCCCGCTCTGAGGAGCAGGCGTGCCTCAGTTTACCTTTAACAGGCCAAGACCGGTGGCCTCGGAGCCATGGTTAGCACATGGAGCCGCTGTCCACCTTGTGAGGGGAGGGGAACCCGCCCAGGCGGAGTCAGGCAGCCTGTCCGGGGTCACACAGCTGGCGGAGGGTGAGGCATCACCTGCGACTTTCAGACCTGCGGGGCCTGAGTCCCACCCCAGGGAGTGTGATCTGGGTGGCCCAGGGCGCCTGTGTGCGAGCCGCTGGGGAGCCGCCTGCCGTCTTTGGGGTGTGCTGCTGCGTCCCTCCTTTTCTTGACAAGTTATTCCCTAAACTGGATTGGGGGCCCTCACGGCCTGTGTTTAGGAGAATGGGAGCCAGAGGCCTGTTCATGCAAAGCTCCCTGTGGCTCCGACCTGGGTGTGTACCTTTGCAGGCCCCTCCTAACACCTGCTCCCCATTTGCTCGATAACCTCGGCCCCAGGACCAGGCTTCCTGGGGTGCAGTCCGAGTCCCACTCAGTCTTAGCCGTGTAACACGTGACTTATTACCCAGCCTCCCTGACCCTGGGTTTTCTCATCTGTGAAATGGGAGGCTGGCCCCTGGGTGAGGGCTCAGGATGCCTGGCTGTTCTTCTCCTTTCGTTTCCAGGCCCTGGTACGGAGCCTGGTAGCCCTCGGGCAAGGAGCTGCGTATGACTGCTTAGCGATTCGAGAATAACTGTGTGTCGTTTCTCTTTTTGACTTTAGATGCTTTCCTGGGTGGGGGTGTGCACCTGGGCCCCAGGGGCCTCGATTGGAGGCCCACTGTTTCCATACACAGGCCAGGGACTCGAGGGATGACTTAGTTTCTCTGAGGTTCTTTCCTCACCTGTAAGCTGGGGAGAGCAGCTCCGTCCCTATAGAGGGAACAGGTTGCAGGCAGTACAGGTAAAGAGCCAGCGTTCTTGGTCCACGAGACTCGCCCAGTGACCGGGATAGCTGTTCGTTTTCCTAATAGATGCAGTTGCTTGTTTCTGGTAAAAGCACATTTCTAAGGAATTGCTTTTATTTTTATTTTTTGCAATTCCCTTGGCTGTGTCGCCTGCCCCTCACTGCGTGTGTAGAAGAAGGGATTGGCCGCACGCCTGTTTCTCGTCCGCCAAGGCTTCTGCGTCACCGATGCAGCTCGGAGTGTTTCTGTCCCGGGGGGAGGAGAAGCGCGGAGGTGCAGAAGGATTCGGGTCCCTGAGTCCTGGGGTTGCGGTGGCACTTTCGGGGGCCCCGGCCTCCGGAAGGTGAGGCAGGGTCTCTCTCCTCCCTGATTGGTGTTGGCTTTGCCCAAGTCCCGAAAGAGCAGGGAAGGCAGACATCTGGTCGAAACCAGGAATAGAAACTCTGTGGTTAGTGAATTCCTTTCTCTGTGGGATCTTTCCCGTCCCCTCCCCTGCCCCTCCCCCCACAGTGACATCTTCTGCGAAGGGAAGAGGGAGCCGGGCAGCCAGTCCCCTTCCTGGTCCCAGGACCCTGCTGCTTGCTTTACTTTTCTTTTTAAAAAATGTCTTCATTGACCTCAGAGAGGAAGGGAGAGAGAGTGAGCGATAGAAATATCAGTGATGAGAAAGAATCATCCATCGGCTGCCTCCTGCACGCCCCCCACCGGGGATCGAACCTGCAACCCGGGCATGTGCCCTTGACCAGGAATCGAACCGTGACCTCCTGGTTTATAGGTCGATGCTCAACCCCTGAGCCATGCCGGCCGCTGGCCCCTGCTGTTTTCACCCTGACCTCAGGGCTGTGGAGCAGCGACAGGACTGGGGCTCTCGTGTGGCTCATGCTGCCTACGTGTGGTCCCCTCTTCCGGATCGGATCGTCTCCCTTCGGTTCCAGGGGCTGACCTTGGCCCCTAATTCTTCCTCTTGTCCCAGGAGCCGCCATATCCATGTCCCCGCGTCAGAGAGGTTTCAGCCTGTGGGAAGGTCTTCGTTCAGGAGAGCAGCTGTTTGAGGGAAACTCAGTCTGCGACGGGGGGAGGGGGGCCGGTGAGGAGGGAGGGGTGCTGTGATGCGGTCAGGGGTCTCTGTGCACTGGGAAGAGGCGGAGCGTGTTCTAGACAAGTCTCTCCCGTGTCCCCCGTTTCTTCTTTCTCCCCAATCAGCTTGGTTCCCCGCACAGCAATCAGGAAGCGAATGTGAAAATGCATGTGCAGCTCAAGAGGCTTCGAGCCCTGCTCTGCCTCAGGCCGCGGCCTCGGTGATGGGGCGGGGACAGCCCGAGGCGGTAAACACGTCCCCTTGCTGTCAGGAGTCTTAGGGCTCCGTGGAGACACAGAACCACATCCCGAATAACAGGAGGCAACATGAATACAGCATTTACTTTGTGCAGAGCATGTATGGCTTTTCTCTCTTCACCCACGTCCCCCACCCGTGAGGGGTAGGCGTCGTGCCCCACTATGCAGGCCAGCGTCTCGCCTCAGAGTGACCAGCATCCCTCCACAGACTCTCCGGCCCCTCTGTGCTCTTGGTGACGCGGCAGCTTTGTGGGGGGACTCGGAGACGAAGGGCCTCTTTCTAACCTGAGAGTATTTCAGTGTCGCCCTGCTTCCCTGGTCACCGTCGGCGAGGAGTCAGGCTGAGGCAGGTGCAGGAAAACCGAGACGGGCGGGGGCACCGTCTGACGTGAGAGCCAGCGTCCAGCCAGCATCTGCCACCCGAGGCCCTGAGCCCGGGGGGTGGGGGAGGGTGAGGGGGGGCAGGAGAGTCATTTCCCCTCTCCAGGACTCAGTGGCCCCGTCGGTAAGTGCAGCTCAGGTGAAATGACTTCCCAAACCCCTTGCAGCTTGGAACTGTGTGCTGGGGCTGGAGACGGCCGGTGTCCATGTCACAGAAAGCCTGGCGCATGGGGCCTTGGCCTCCGGGAGCCCCGGCCTCCCGGGCAGGCTCCTGTGTCTTGGGCTGCAGGCCTTCTCTGTCAAGATAAGACCCATGCGTGGGACCAGCCAGGCCTTGCTGGGGCCAGATGGGGACACAGCCAGATACTGGGTGGCAAAGGTCCTGTGGACTAGGGTGGCCCTCCCGGCTCCCTGGCTCAGCTGTCTTCACCGAACTTTGTGTTAATTGTTGCTAAGCAACGTTCTTTTTTTTCTTTCTTTCTGTAGGCAAAGCATGCAAGGAATGAATTCATATCTCATTTAGTTTTAAATACTCACATGCAACGGGGCTAACTTCACATTTTTTTGTGTGATTTTGGTTCTAAGCTGTGAAGGGCCTTAAGCGGGGGGGAGGGTGCGTGGTCGGGGGGACAGGACGGGGACGGGGATGGGGCTCCGCTTCTACCGTCTGGAGAAATAAGGCGGAAACACAGCCTATTTAGGTGCGTGTCCAGCAGTGGCCTCGGGGACTGGAGGTGTGTGGGGGCCGCTGTGCGCTCTGTGGGGAAGCCTCCCGCAACCTGTACTGTGTTCAGAAAATCCTTTCGAATTTAATAAAAAGATTAGTAGGTTTTAAATAACCCTCATTTCAGGTTTACCAGCTTAGCTGTCTCCCACGGACAGACTCTGCTGGGAGGGAACGCTCTGTAATTTACATCAGTCCCCGAGGCAGGGATGCTCACAGCGGCACAGCCGCGGGGATGGTGCCCGAGGCTCGACTGTGCTGGCGTCCCACACACTCCTCACCCCTCGCTGGCTCTCTGCCCGCGTGCCCGGAGTTTCGAGGTGCATGTCTGCGGCGCTGGGCGTGCTGGGCACGGGCATGGGCAGGGGCAGCCTATGCCCTTTGGTGTCCGGACAGCTTCCTTGTTGGACACCGAGTCACCCATGGAGTGGAGACCCCAGGCCCCGCTTCGTGTCCTTTGACCTGTAACAGCTCATCTGCTAACAGAGAACAGATTTCAGCTCTGGAGGCAGAGGCTGCCTTTAGTGCCACAGAAGCATTGACGCTGTCATCTGATCGAGTCTCAGCATTGCCCCCGTGGCTTCCTTCACGAGGGCAAGGCTGATG